GTGTAATGATGGCAAATTCATTTATCCAATGTGAACTCACACAGAGATTTTTTCTGAATTTGTAATAATAATAAAATGATGATAGTCTTCTAATCCCCTCCTCTCCTCTTTCAGAGATGCCCCAGGTGTATTTTTCCTGAGAGACAGTTTGTGTCCACATCTGAAACATGTTTGTATTGATCTGAGGTGAGAAGGGGAATGAGGGATTGATCGTAATTTGTGACAACCCTATTTCCGAAAACTCGTAAGCCTGCCTTTCTCAGAACGCCTGCAGGTCAGATAGAAACAATCTAATGAAAATGACATGATTGTAGTGGCCTAACAAATCAATGCATGCAGCGGTCATGTAAGAGACCTACTGAAATGTCAGACAAATGCAATGGGAGATCCAGATCTCCCAGTCTTCCTTTATCGAAATGAAAAATCTTTGGGTTTGATAATGCACGATTACAAACGGCGAACAATTGATTGAGATGTTATATTCACCACTGGGTGAGTGCTGCGATGCATAAAGAAGATTCTACTGATTATTCACAACTAATCCAAATAAAAAGAGATTAAAAATCATTCTGTGGAAAGAGTCTTAACTATGACAAATACGTCATATTTAATCATAGCAGTGCTTTGGAAACTGCGTGTGTGTGAGTAGACAGATGGACAAATTCTCCATGAGGAGGAAATAATCTCAAATCATATTAGACTTGGACTAAAGTTCTGAACTTATTGGTAGCATATGTAACGACACTTAATTGAAAAAACCTTAGACATGAAGTAGCTTTATTCTAATTAAAGCCGAAGCTTCAAAGTTCAAAGTACACTGATGAATGACTTCTGTGAGCTTTTAAGACGGCCTGGAATACATTGATATATTTGAAAGCAACATGAAACAGCTTATAGAGCTTTCAACAAAACTGCAGGTGTATCGATCTAAAAGGAAATAAAAGAGAAATTAGTGACATTCAATTAGTTGCTGTCCCATAAAGAAAATGGGCAAAGCATAATCACAGAATAAAACACTTTATAAGATGTGTGTTTTGTGAACTGTTGTCATTTTACTTTGATGAATATTTAGGAAATAGTGGCCAATAATTATACTGTTTATGATTGATTATGTAGTCACCAGAGTTCCTGGGTTGTATTTATCAGTCTTAGGTTAATCATGTTGTTGTTGCACATTATATCACCACAGCAAGGCAGCATCTTATTTGCATCAACGGCCCATTTCATATTTATCACAGTTAGTTCATAATGATTGGTTGGTTGGTTGTGTTATAAAAGAGCAATTGGCACAATAATTGGCTACAAAATACATAATGAAAGAAATATGCTGTGTTTAAAAGGTGACATGACTAAATGTGGTTATAAATAAGCAAAAATATAATTATTTTGAATAATGCATTTCTTTTCAAAACTTTTTTCCCTGCCTTAATAGAATGAATCCTAATTCACTATGTGTGATGCAAATGGATTTTTGCATGACAAAAAATGTCTTTAACAGCATCGTGAAACCTTGACATCGGAATCACCAATTGAATTTGATAATATCAACAACTCTTAATCGTAAAAAGTAAAATAAGCAAAACAATACAGATTCATATCTTTTCAAATAATAAACATTATCGACAAACAAGGTTTATTGAGCAAAGTCTCCTGAACAGACAAAGCAAGAAGAGACAGAAGAGCTCACTGAACAGAAGAGGTCAGACTGTGGACAATGAGGTGTGGAAAGTGTCCAGGTTTTCACTCCAGCTGGAGACAGACAACACCACAGAATGTAATGGCACATTGACGAGAAGAACTGTTTTCCGGTGTGTGCAGTCTACGCTTCAATCTGTCAAGTCTTAAACACAGTAAAAGTCCATGCCCTGAAAGAAGAAGAAGTTAGATTAGATATATGTCAACCACATCAATTTACTTCAGAAAATAATACTGTGGATCTCAGATATATTCCTATAAAGTAGGCAGGAGCACGCACAGTTGTGGGCATCTTAACTGTGACCTCTGTAAACTTGTGTGTCTCCTTCACCATGGTTGCAGGGAAGTATCCGACGATGCCCATCTGGTCCACGTACCGCTCACCGTAAACCTGCCAGTGAAAACAACATGGCCTCTCTGACAAATTAACATCACATTAAATATGCTCTGTGCATTTCAGCTTCCTTCCTAAAACATTAATTAAATGTTTGCTCAGATTCAATTAAATATTTAACCAAATTCATTGTTGCTCTTGTCACACATTCTTGAAAGGTCACACCCGTCTGTCCTAAAGCTGCTGCACATCCTCTGTGTCTTAAAGTGGATGTTTGCACTGCTACAGTGGTACATAACAAATATGCACGTACACTTCCAGACCAGAAGACTCCAGCGCCCTCCTCTGGCACGAGTTTAGAATACACATACACCATCTGACCCTTCTTGATGTTGATGAATCTGCAGTCAGGAGCTATGAAGTCGTCCAGGGCTGTGGCCATAGAGAGAACATCTGGTGAAGGATAGAAAACAAAAGAGGGAGTGGAAATACATAGATCAAAGGAACATGCATTTTAACACGTAACAGATTTCAGGACAGACTGTACATGTGATGTCACACTTCTGTTTCATCTTCTGACTTACATGAGCATTCTGCATCTCCGCAGATCTTGTCGTCGGCTAATTTATCCATAACGACGGCCCTTACAGTCTGGTGCAATAGTCCCACACAGAGCAGAATCACCAATGAATAGTTCATGCTGACCAAAACAGCACAACTAAGGGAGTGTTTTGTATGTGCGTACAGATGTGAATGTGGATGGTTGAAGGGACTTAAGGCTATAAAAGTCTCCAAACACTTCTCCCAGCCAGGACTGGATGGGCTGAGCCCCTGCATCAGAGGTCGCCTGGCCAATCAGTGTTGAGTTTCAGAAACGCCACACTCTTTCTGGAACTACTTATTTCCCCACTGGGGAGTTGGCCGACCTTTTTCTTTTTTGTGTTTTTAACTACTCAAACCTCAGTCTCTCTGCAGGGACACACAGTCACATTCCATGTGTGCATCTGAGTGAGCTCCGTTAGATGCAGTAGATTAATGTGTGGAAATAAAAAATGGTGTTCTATCAGCAGGTCTTTTTATTGTAGTGTCACATTTTTAATCAGAGAGAAGAAGTAACTTTTAATGTTTTATGTAACTAGAGGTAAAATCTATTAAATATAATTCATGTGCAGTTGTTCACATTGTATATTGAAAAAATGTCCCTTCAGGCAGGCATTGCCTAAATGCATTGTCTTTTGTCTACAGATGGAAATAAATGTTGATGAGTGTGATCGTATTGTTTGATAGCTGTTGCTGTAATTTTGTTAGTGAACCTTGTGAAGTGATTGAGTTTAGACAACATCATCTATTTGACAATAAATTCTCAGCCATCAACAGTCATTTGCATCTGTACAAACAACAGACAAGGAAATTAGGTAACACCCCTCCTGATCCTCAAGTCACATGAACATGTATCAAACTATTTTTTATGGAGAAACTGTAATTTGCTATAAATAAAGTTGCAATTCAATGTAAAAATAAATAAGCTTGGGCTTCGATAAATAAAGACGATGCAATAATGCTGTATAAAGAACAGCAGGAGCAAATGCAGTGTAGCTAAATTAAGTTAGGAAGTGATACTTGCAAAGTCTTGCAAATTAAAGAGAAACAAAATATTTTCAACAAAGCAGAACCAGTCGATGTCACATTCAACACTTTTACCCTTCATAATAAGGAAATGGTGAAAAAGACTGCAGGAGTGAGACACACTTTCAAACTGTGACGGCCAATATATTCTAAACCCTGAATTATAACTATTTTGCAACACAACCTTCCAAGCAAACAAAGTCATAGTTTAAACCAAACACTTGGTGGCACCATTGTCCCATTGCTGTGGTTATGAAGTTGCAGGGGATTGCACCAGGCAAGCATCTCTGGTTGTTTCATAACCAGGTGAAAAAAAATATATGATCAGGAATATTAATTTATAAGTTATTTGATTATTACGGGAAATCCATTTAGAAAACAACAACAAAGATAAATTATAGGGTTTTACTTTTAGCCTTTAAGGGTGTAAAAAAAGATACCATAAGATAAAATAGGATAATCTTTTATTAGTCCTACAATGTGGAAACTTGCAGTATTACAGCAGCAACAGTCAAAATAGACATCTGGAAGAAATAAGTAACATACGATGCTTAAAGGTACAGTGTGTAGAATTTTGAGATATCTAGTGTTGACGTTTCATGCAGCTAAACACCCCTCACCTCACCCTCTCCTTCCAAACATGAAAAAGAAACTGTGGAAACCTTCAGTTGTCATAAAAATTCAAAAGGTGTTTAGTTTGTCCAGTCTGGACTAATGTAAAAAACACTTGGTGTAAATATAAAGTAGTTGAATATAAAGGGCCTTTTCTGGGGTAAAGAAAACTACAATTAATACAATTTAGATGGAACACACTAGTGAAAACATCATGAAGATTATTCTACATGCCAATAGTTCCCTTTCACCTAAATCTTACACACTGGACCTTTAAGTGTAAGAAATATTAACAATAGAAATATAGAAAAATATGTGAAAGAGAAAGAGAAAGAACTTGAGTAAACACTGGCAACATAGAAAATAAAAACATTAAAAAACTGCTGATGTGTTTTCAGTTATTATTGAAACTTATTCAAATTGACTAAATCTATGCAGTTAAACTTATAGGAAAAGTGTATTACATGAGTTTAGCTCTTGTTTCATCATCTCATGTAAACATCGAGTTTTCTAAAATGTGTTTTTTATAACTAAGTCTTTATTTCCTCGTTCGTCTGATGCAAAGCGCCGCAAAACTCTGCGCGTGTCTGGATGTGTTCACCCAGCTCGGCTACGGCGGGCGGTGTTTACGCCTCCACACTCTTCACACAGAGAGAGAACCGCTCGCTGGTGCTCACTTGTTTGTGAAAATCAAGCGTACCTTTCAGCTGTGCAGGGCAGTGACGTGTATACACTGAAAACTCAAAGCGATCGTCCCGGACGTTGTTGTTGTTGTTCGGTTTGAAGAGTTGGAGGACGACCGGTGCTTTGTTTTTTAAATCCGGAGGGTGTAAGCGATCACACGGCGGGCAGCTGTATGTCTAACTGGGGGGTTATTTGAACTCTATCGCGCCATATTTATCCAGGTAGTGGTCAGGCTGACAAGTTAGGTCCCAGGGTAGCCGATGGATGCGCGGGTATCGGACTTATTTGGCTCGGGGAATGGACTCGGATCCGGGACCTCAGCTGTCGCCTCCAACGCCAAGTCCGGGAACGGCCACGGCGTATCCTCCAAAAAACCCTCAAAGAACAAGAAGTCAAAGGCTCGATACCACCGCAACTTCAAACCGAGCAACAACACCCCGTACCTACCTCCAGAGGTAAGACGGACCACCGAGCACCAGTGACCCGCTGCTGCTCTCCAACCTTTAGCCGCAACAAGCTAACAACAATACGAGCTAGTGTTTTTTTTATATATATAGTGGGACGTGTAACTAATAACTGTTTCACCCGGTTTCCTGTGAGTTCACTACCCGAGTCCCTGTGAACTCACAATGACACGTAACCCAATGGAAATGGATGGGTTTGGTTATATTCGGCTAACATTAGCACCACTACATTAGCCTGCATAGATTAGCGGTGGGTTTAAAAGCGCTAAGCTAAGTGAGCTGCCAGTGTTTTACAAGCTAGCAGGAGGGTAACAGCTGTGTTTGTAAATACGTAGCGGGGGGAGGGTGTTCACTCGGTTGACTGACATGTAGCTTCAGTCAAATTGACCTAAACAAGCCCTGTTACTCAGAGTCAGTCTTTCGCAAATGTGATCATTGTTTTTTCAGTGAAACGAAACTAAAGGCTTTGTTTTGACCTGAAGTCACCTAAAGTTAACCCAACTTAACCTGAAGCTCAATAAAAGCACTTGGTTTCAGAATTTAATTGTGTTTGAAATAGTAATTGAGGTTTTTGCAGATAAAGTTGAATATATTGAGATCTCATTAAACACCACGATCATTGACTCAGTGTTTATGGGCAAGTCTGGACATATTCCAGGACTTGTCACAGCTGATCACTGATGACGTGCACTCTACTGTTCGCTTATATTTGAGCTGTTCCTTCCACTTAAGGTATCGATTAGTTAACTTTGAATGTATACTGATGTGCTTTTTTTGCTTATAACACATGAAGTAGCTGTGTATTAGGTCTGTCTAAGCAGATATCACTTTGTGTAGCTCTCAGTCACTACCTATTCACAGCAGTGAGTGGACCGCTCATTCACACAGATTGCCTTTCTTTGTGTCCTTTAGCAAATCAATAGCCTGTTGTCTGACTTCTCTGCAGCCTGACATCTGTTGTCTCGGTGTCATCTCTCTTTGCTTCTCTCTGTCTCTCTGTCTCAGGCTGAAGAGGGAAACATAGAGTACAAGGTAAGCGTTGTGTTCAAAATACATTTTGGTTTCCCTCATAGGGAGCTAACAGCTTCATTAAGCATTCCAACAATGAACAGCTCTTAGGTCAGCTTCTTCGTGACAAGGGTGTGGATGTTATCGTCATAATACATCAAATTATTATTACAATAAGGTTCCAGCAATATGTAGGTATTATGTCATAATATATGGGTGTGGTGTGAGGTGATCTACCATGGAAATCCAACACCCTGGTGGATTAGCGAGAGCATTTTTAGTATCCTGACAGCTGCTTCCCTCACCACATCGACATAGTCTATTTTTTTAAATATTTTACTCTCTCAGTTCTTCAATAATCCTTTAAAATGCTAGTTATTTGCACCTTAGCTATTTAACCATTGACTAGACCCATTTCACCATGTTAAAATATTACTCAAGCACTGATGACTAAAGTCTTTCCCTTGTCTAGCTGAAGCTGGTCAACCCAACACAATACCGCTTTGAGCACTTGGCAACACAAATGAAATGGCGACTGCAGGAGGGTCGAGGCGAAGCTATCTATCAAATAGGTGTTGAGGATAATGGCATGCTGGTGGGGCTATCAGAGGAAGACATGAGAGCATCACTGAAGACCCTCCATCTGCTGGCAGAGAAGTAAGTTAATCCAGTTCAAGAGGGAATTATTTTAACGCTTCCCTTTAACCCATCTAGAGCTAAAGGTGAAGAAACTTGACAAAAAATATATGTTGGTCCCTGTCAAGTGGAAATTGACATAATTCAAATACCACACTTTATTTCTGACAGAGTTGGAGCTGACATCACGGTCCTCCGAGAGCAAGAGGTGGACTATGACACTGATGTTCCTCATAAGATTGCGGAAGTTCTCATTCGCAAGGTGCCAGATGACCAGCAGGTCAGTGAGCCTACTCTAAAGGCTTTTTTGTGTTTGAATGATATTTTTATGTTCTTTTGCTGCTGATCTGTTTTTGTTATTCTCTTATTCTCTCAATTTTTTTCCTTGGTGTTCTCCAGTTCTTGGACTTGCGGGTAGCTGTGCTGGGTAACGTGGACTCGGGCAAGTCCACTCTGTTAGGTGTGTTGACACAGGGTGAGCTGGACAACGGACGGGGAAGAGCGAGGCTCAACCTCTTCAGACATCTTCATGAGATCCAGACTGGACGGACTTCAAGCATCAGCTTTGAGATCCTGGGTTTTAACAGTAAAGGAGAGGTAAGAAAAAATTCAACACCAAACAATGACTGATGTGTGATGAGTTTTTATTTTGGAATAATAAAGTAATGGAGATGATGCTTCAGATGTTATTACTTCTTCTCCCAGGTTGTGAATTACAGTGAATCTAGGACAGCGGAGGAGATTTGTGAGAGTGCCTCTAAAATGATCACATTCATTGATCTGGCTGGTCACCACAAGTACCTGAAAACCACAATTTTTGGCCTCACCAGCTACTGTCCAGACTTTGCTATGCTTGTTGTGAGCGCAAATAATGGCATTGGTGAGTATTAATTGATCCATTGAATTTCATGCTAATTTTATTTATTACTTCAAGAATCTATGCATCATTGTAAGTCAGTGAAAATGCAATTGTGTCTCTCCGCAGGCATTTTATCACTTCACTGACCTGACTATTCAGAAAAGCCAAGTTAGCTAAATGGATCTGTCACAAGGGGGCCGGTTGGTAACAGACACTTGCAGGGCCAGTCTGACAGCGAGCCTGTATTTGTGTACACCACACCTCCCTTCTGTAGTAGTGGACTTTACCAAGTCTGGCTGGGCACTTTGCAGACATGTGATATCTGAGCTTATGTAATTGGCCACCCTTCCTACCAGCCACTTTATCCCTCCTAGTACTAAAATATCTCAAATACCTTCCATTTATGTCAGAGTCCTCTGACCCACTAGAGGTATCTCTGTGCTTTAATTCTTCACAACACAAAAACAGTATTTTTCTGATACATTTAAGATCTTTAAAAAAAACATTCAGGCATTATATTAGGACAGCTTGCTTTACTAATAGATTTGTATTAGTGCACAATGTGCATTCAGAACTTTTACGATAACAGTGAAGACTGAGTTCAGAAAGCTGAGTTATCAAACTGGGGGAATGTCAGTGCCGTTCAGTAGGAACACTGTTGATGTTGCTTGCTGGTTATTTGGTATTATAAAACGCTGTTGTCAGAAGTGGGATTCGAACCCACGCCTCCAGAGGAGACTGCGACCTGAACGCAGCGCCTTAGACCGCTCGGCCATCCTGACATGTGGAAGTGGGGGCAGGGGCACTCCGTTTCAGCCCCTGAGAGGCATATTTGTTTTTGCGTCGCTTTGAATGCAATGAATGGAGACTGCGACCTGAACGCAGCGCCTTAGACCGCTCGTCCATCCTGACAAGTGGAAGTGGGGGGAGGGGCACTCCCTTTCACCCCCTGAGAGGCATATTTGTTTTTGCGTTGCTTTGAATGCAATGAATGTAGATAATACTGCTTTATTAAGAAATATTTAGTTTGGCTTTCTTTTGGAAACTGAGAAGGGGGCTAGTTACTTAGTAGTTCAGTTCACAACACTGCTGTAGTTATTACGGGAACTAAAAGCAACTACTGTAAATCTATGGTTAAATATATATATATATATTTGTTATTTTTGTACAATTGGATTTTTTTCCTCACCACTAAAAGTCGCTGAATAATTTACAAGGAAATATAAGTCATAACATCTGTAATCACTGTATTTGGGCATCAAAAGGACATTGATATTAAATTAAAACAAAACTCTTAGGAAGTTATGGGAGAACTGAAATAGGGTTTAAAGACCACATCATTTCGGAGTAATCCTAGAAATCTGTAGATAATGCACAACCTCCACATTTTTGTATCTTAATATTCTTTCAGTGCGTATGCAATTTCAATTTTTCTGCTTGTTGTACTGCAGGCATTGCTGTGTTTGTGTGCATGTCTGCTTTGAAAGAGGGCACACTGGTTAAATGGGGTCAAGAATGAGGATCACTTCAGCAATGCTACAGACAGAAAGGGGGGCATAGTGTCTGCAACCCAAGAGCTAGCTTTAATTATGAAGCAGCGTAATGGATCTGTGTAAGGCAAAGGCCATGTCTCAGGTTGTGATGATCCAAAAACCCAGAGGGCGGGTAATCATCTTGTATCATTTTATAATTTTCTCTTCAATCACCTTTTACGTAAGATGAGGAAAGTTTATTTTAATTATGCACCATTACCTTGGATGAACTGAAAATAACACAAGTAGCAAAACACCTTGTAGCTCAGCTGACGAGCGGCCAGGTTATTTTGAGTCTGTCAACCTTTAAATGTGTGTTATGGGTCAGTACTGTAGACTGTATGGTCACTGCCCTTGAACTCATTAGTGTTGAGACCTATTTACAAACTGAGAGATAATCTAATATACACGTGTGTATGTATAAATATGTAAAGCATATATAATTTTTTTCACGTGCCAAAGAAACATGGCATGTAAGACGCTGCTGCCTCTTTGGGTGATCGCGTGGTTTGGAAAGTCTTATTCAATGTTCCTGACACCCGAAGCATTGGTGACATAATTACTGTATATGGTTGAATATTTCTGCCCTGCAATCCTATCTACTTTCCCTGCTGCCATATCAATCAGACGTCATGGTAAAATCAACCTGGTCTAATCAGTTTGCTCACATAGATTCTTGACCCTTAAATAAGATATGTTATCTTAAGTCGCAACAGTCCTAACTGTAAATGTTTCCTTTATCTTCCTCAGACTCTGTGTCATAGTAGATATCATAGTTCTCATATGAAGTCCTACCTTAATCATGCCCATAGGGTACTGTGTTTTCTGCAATTTTTAAGCAAGTGACTCAATCGCTTCCTGCTCATTTGATGCAACTTGCTCTCAATAAGAGCATCATATTGAATGCATCAATTAAACATTGCACGTGAAAGCTTTTGTGGTCATGGAAATCAGTGCAAGACAAACTCTAGCTGATGTGGCATGACCTATTTCCTGTATCCTCTCCCTGTCACCCTTTTCCAGCTGGAACAACAAGGGAGCATCTCGGGCTTGCTATGGCCCTGAAGGTGCCCATCTTCATTGTCATCAGTAAGGTGGACCTGTGCTCGCGAACCACCGTGGAGCGCACAGTGCGGCAGCTGGAGCGTGTCTTGAAGCAGCCGGGCTGCAACAAGGTGCCCATGCTTGTAGGCAGTACTGATGACGCCGTCACAGCAGCACAACAGTTCGCCCAGTTCCGCAAGTATGAAATAACTCTATATACATATCTGAATGTCTGTATGAACCTGATTTAAATTTGGTGTTTTTGAATAAGTAATTAAGAGAAGGGAGGAAGTAGCCAGTGACGTCCGTGCATGCTGATTACATGCTTGTGTTTTCCCTGGCAGCATCACACCCATCTTCACCTTGTCCAGTGTGTCTGGAGAGAGTCTAGACTTGCTAAAGGTCTTTTTCAACATCATACCTCCCCTCAGCAACAGCAAGGAGCAGGAGGAGCTTATGCAACAGCTAACTGAGTTTCAGGTAGGTCTGAGATGAAGCTGACATGTACACACTCCTCCCCATTCCGAATAAATGTATAAGAACTTTGCACCATATGCTTGAAAGAAATGTACATGCTGTTACAGGTGGATGAGATCTACACAGTGCCAGAGGTGGGGACTGTGGTGGGAGGTACTCTGTACAGGTCAGTATGTTGAAAAGCTCTCTTCCTGATCTTCCATTCAGCTTGTTTTTGTTGTTAAGCCAGGCCTCACTATTCTCTTTGACTGTGCAGTGGTATTTGCCGTGAGGGAGATCATCTTATAGTCGGGCCCACTGACTCTGGCCAGTTCCAGGAGTTGAGCATCGGGAGCATACAGAGGAACCGCTCGGCATGCAGGGTACTCAGGGCCGGCCAGGCTGCCACTCTTGCCCTCTGTGACTTCGACCGGTCACTTTTACGCAAGGTCAGACACAGAGTGGCTGAAAGAAACATTTGCATATGTATTTTTTTAATATTATTCAAGTCATTATAAGCAAAGAACATGTTTATGCATGTGCAGGGCATGGTGATATTGAGTCCTGAGATGAATCCAACCATCTGCTGGATGTTTGAGGCTGAGATTGTGCTGCTCTTCCATGCCAAGACCTTCCACAAGGGCTTCCAGGTGACTGTGCACATTGGCAATGTGAGACAGACCGCCACTGTGGAAGCCGTGTATGGCAAGGTTAGTTCACCCACTGAGTCGCAACTGGTCCCGAAAATTGTCCTCTGCATCCAAAGCCTGCATTTGTTATATCCCAGTGTTCTACTTTAACAAGATTATGTCTGACTATTCTTAAATTAATTGTATTCTTTTGATACATCTTTTGTTACAGGAGGAGCTGAGGACAGGAGAAAAGGCAGTTGTTCGCTTCAAGTTCATCAAGCACCCTGAATATCTGAAGGTGGGAGCCAAGGTGCTCTTCAGAGAGGGCTTGACGAAGGGAATCGGCCACGTCACAAAGTTGCAGTCCATCAGCCAGTACCGGCGATCCCATAGTGAGGATGAGGAGGCCTGAACCTTTTCAGACAACCGAAACAGAAAATACCGTCCCACTCCAAAACAAGGTGCTTTACAACCCCAGCTCCTACTTTTTCCAAAGGCCTCTTTGCCTTGTTCTTTGTTGTTTTATCACCCTTCACCAAAGCCTTGTCACTACTATCATCCTCATTTGTCCTCTTCAGCCTTTTAAAATACTGCTGATGTTTCAGTGTGCTTCCTATTGTTGGGGATTAAAGAGTGTTGCTTTTCATAGCACTGACAAGAAGAAACACCTCAGCCACCTCTACAACACGTTCACAGGAACATCTACCAAAGTGATAACGAGTGTCAAGAACACATAGTTGCGATGCACAGATTGATGAGTGGCAACTAGGAAATGCTTTCTCAAACCAATGCTGAAGTGCTGCCTCCACAGTTTACACTAACTAACATACTTCAAAAATGATGCGCACACACTTGCACTGAAACCTAAATGCCAGTTTTGATATGCGGCAGATAATCATTTACAAACTTGGTAGTTTCATGTATGAAATGCTTGGACATTAAAGGTCCAGTGTGTTGGCTTCACAATAACATAATTTTAAAATGATTTGTTTCGTTTTAATTAGGGTATAATCACCTTAAATTGGGAATTGTTGATTTTGTAACCTTAGAATGACCCCTTAATGTCTACATCAGGAGTGGTCCCTCTTCCACTGAGTCGGCCATGTTGCTGCGGTAGCTCAAAATGGACAAAACAAACCCTGACTTTCACACTTTGATTTTTTTACGTAAGGCCACCGTATGTTTTGCTACAAGTTAGGGGCAGTCAGTTAGTTGCAATCTGCACCCTCAGCACTAAAGGCCACTAAAGTCAACACACTGAACCTTAAGGTGTAAGTTGTATCACCAGTGTCATTTTTGTCATCGCCTCACAGCTTCTCTGTGTGACCAGCGTAGTGACTGACTGTCTCTTTGTTTGTATAAACACATCTTTTTCATAATAACTGCTAATCATGTAATGTGAGATAGTTGTAAAAGCAGTGAGATGCACATCTTGTCAGTCGTATATAAGATTAACCATCTCACTTCAAGCTATATTACTGACAAAGGCACTTTATGAAGCTACAGAGGTAACACTGCGAGGTATGCAGTTAGTATTTGTATTCTCAACCTGCCAAGCATATTCACAGTGGCAATCACATCCTTACTATCATTTTTCTGTGACAATTGTGTGTTTTTATATTCACAAGTAATGCCTCACGATGGTGCAGTGCGATGATGAGGATCTCGCTGCCCATCGTTTAAAGTGCTTTAGTTACTCAGGTCAGTGTCGATATAAGACTGCATTCCACTCTCACTCAAGTACTCCAGCGAACGATTCTGTTGCTGACTTGTTGTGTGTATGTGTGTGTGTGTGTGTGTGTGAGAGTGTGTAGGTGAAGGGGGGTGTATCCCAAAGAGCTGAGCCTGATTATGCATTAGATACGTGAAGCTGCCTACTGATGCAGCTTTAATTAACAGCAATTCTATTGGAGGTACGAGATGTCGTCTCTCCACTTTAGTTACTGATGTCACTGACTCTTAAGGGGTTTAACACAGTGCCTGATGCTACCGTTTGAGTGGCCTTCTATTACACCCCAAACTTTTACAACTTTGTTAACAAAAACATCTACTGAAGTTGGTGCTAGTACCAGAAACACCTTTTGTGTCGAAGACGACCTCTGTTCGAGGCTGTTGGCCTTAACATCTGTTACGTTGCATGTTGATGTGATTTATACACAGGTCGTAGTCCCACTGATATTGATGATAGACAACTGATATGTGTGCCCTGTCTTGTTGCACCCACATAGTTGTTATGCACATGTTTGTGTGTACTCAAAGAAACTTATAATGCATTTGAACCAAAATACTTTTGAGCCTTTATGAAGAGTTATATCAGGTGTTCAAGTTTGTTTTAAAGCAGCTGAGAAGTGTTTTATAGATTTCTAGTAGTTCTCAATTTTACAATTCTGTACTTTTTTCACTGTTGCATTCTTCTTAATCACACCAACAGTTTCACTCTTAGAATCATTTAAAACCTGTTTTCCTTCTGAATTCAAGCGTAATTTTTTGATCATTATATGGGTGAAATGCAATATTTATGTACAGATCCAATTTGTGTGTCATGATGTACATGAATAAAACTTGTATTGTCTCTATCTGTTTTGTTGCCTTAAAATAACTCCGTCATGTCACACATCCAGTGTTTTGTCTATTGACTCACAAGTCAGAGGCATCTCTCACTCCACAAAATTGAGTTTAAAAAAAACTTTATTTCTTTTTCCTGGTTGGGCTCCTCCTCATCTGCTCCCTAGCTTATGCAAGACAATGCAAGAGTAAACTAGTCAATAAACTGTCTTTCAACACTTGAGCAGAACAGTTTTAGCAAAGAAGAACCAAAACAGGATGACAAGGCAATGAATGGTGCAACCTACTGATAAGAATATTAAAAAGAACATTTCCTTTTATAAGTTTCCATTTGTAGTTTGAATGTGTTAATGTTTAACTGATTAACTATGGTGTCCCCTGACAACCACAAACACTGACGACATTTTTACTTATTTGTGTTTGGATCCCTGAGTGCAGGCCAGCACCATTTGCATTTAAATCTATTAAAATATACACTCTTACAAACATTTATCTCTTGAGTTCAGTAATTTACTGACTAGTGGCCTCTGCTGGTATGTCAGAATACTACAAGAATCTTAAATATACTCAGGTTGGCAATATACATAAAAACATGAAATAAAGTAAATAAACACTTTGATTTGTACACATTCTTATAGGGTTAAGCTTATTACCATCTATTTTTATTTTAAAATGTTTTGTCTACAATACATGTTCAGTTCCTCTTAAAAAAAGAATCCAGAGTGGTCGTACTTCCACCCTGAGAGCGGGGTCTTTTTGGTTGTGGTCCTGACTGGCCCCTGGTTTTTGTCTTGCCCCGGGCGGACTGGGTCGTGCCTGCTGCTGCCACCCTGAGAGAAGATGCAGAGGAAGAGGAGGCAGAGACTGATGCTGAACCAGCAGATGAAGAAGAAAGTGAATTCTGGAGGTCCAGGGCAAAGTGATAGTCATTGTGTTCAGGCATTTCCCAGACCAACACATCCTGGCCACAGCGTTCACAGTTCAAGAGGTCCTCTCTGGCCACACTGGGAGGATGGGGATTTCCCCCTGGACCAGTGTCCAGTTCATCCTTGAACTCTTCACATGGTGTCTGGTGGAACGTAAACTCTGAGCTATTTCTTTCCTGCAGGCCTGACAAAACAGCCACAGTGTCTTCCAATTCCTCTCTTTTATTGACACTGCCGGGTCCGACTTCTGCTTCAGTGCTGCTCAGCACTGGTGCTGAGGCCTGTAAGCTTCTTTCAAGATTCTTTTTGTGGAAGAAAGAGGAAATTCCAGGATGGGGGCTTGAAGAACCATTTTTAGAGTGAGGTGAAATTGAAACGGATGAAACTGTGATACTGGCATCTGTCTCCAACTGACTACCAGTTCCAGATGTTTTGTGAGAGGAGGAGGAACATGGGAGAATTCCTTTGGAGACTCCAACTTCATCCTCCTCATCTTCTTCTTTCATCACCTTCAGTCTTTGTTTCTCAGTCGCCTTTTGAAAGAAGGACTGAATGGTGGCAGGTTGTCTGCATGGCGAGTTATTTTTCAGTTCAGAGGTCGGCTGGGTGGAGGACTGAGCGGTAGAGAAGAGGCTCTGGGTCGAAGTGACATCACCGGAAAGGAAACCAGCTATCCCCCCTGCTGATGAAGCGTCACTGAATTTGCTTGCAGAAAGGTGTAGCAGGGTGAGAGGTGGAGCCCTGGAGGACATGATGCAAAACAAAAAAGAGTAATAAATCATTCAGGATTCCTTTAACCAGTTACTTAATATATTTAACTGTGTTATTATTATTATAACTACCACGTCGCCTGGTGGTTTCCTGCTGTGTTCAGGCTCTTGATAATGGCAAAGCTGTCACTAGAAATTTTGGTTGCTTCGTAGCGCACTAAAGCACAACATCGAGAGAAGCTGCTCTGCCTCTTATCCCCGAGCTGACGTACACCAACTGTCAGCAGCTTAAACACTCGACCGTTCTGTAATGTGAGAGAAGAAAAAGTACCAATATAGAACCAAGAGACATTTACTGTATCTGACATCAGGAAAACCCAGAAGAAGAAATAGAACACAAATTTTCTCACCACTTCTCTGTCCTTGGTCAGCCGCTCCTCTAGCTCAAGAGCCAGTTGATGAAGCCAGTATTGTACCTTCACATGGGTTATTAATAACAGCATGAAAACAACATACTTTCAGTATCAGTCAAAATGGGACTAAAAAGTTAGATCCAGATCCTGAAGCAGATGTTAGTTATTCGTACTTGCTCTTTCGTGGCCAGTGATGTTTTCCCAGGGAAGTTTTTACTACAGCCGATGGACTTGGGAAGCTGTCTGGGTTTCACTGCTTCAAACTCAATCCCCCGACACAAGTCATACAACCACTGGCTGCAAAACAGAGACATTTGTTTGTGAATACACTTGTTAATCAAATATTTTGTGGGGAAAAATTGGATTTCATGTTAACCAGTCTCCTCAAGAGACTTTTGACCTTGTTCTGTTCTCATCTCACCCTGTTTTTTCTCCAAAGTGCTGCCCCAGCTGGGCCTGCGAGAAGCGAGTCAGATCTCCCATGTTCTCTATTCCCAGAGTTTCTGTAATAGAGGCACCGAGCTTCCCCCCCAGGTTACGACTGCATGGATGAAATGTAGCAAAGACACACCACTTGGAAATGAAAAAATATCTCTTTACTGTTTTATTTCAGAATATTTGAAAAATATGTGATCGATGAAAACTTTCTGGCAAAGTAATGCTTTGAACTCACATCTTGCCGATGGGTAAAGAGTTGAAAAGTTCTGAAACAGAGTCTAAAGGCAGAACAGTTTGTCTGTTAGGTTTGTTCAGTCCACAGGCAAGTTTGGCCAGTACCTGTAGAAATAGAACATGTGACAATAGCTAAGATGACTACCGCTCTTTAAAGTAAACATTTAAAGTATATACACACTGTATGTTGGAACGAAACAATAAGATGTTTTCCAACCTTATTGTGTGATATCCCTGCTGAACAGCGGAAACCTGTATGTTTCTCCACGGCTGCTCTCATCTCCTCAACAATGAGCGCCCCCACAGTCAGCTGCAGTTCTGCAGAGCTCTGCGCCCCTGTCAGGAGGACAGGTAAGGATGCCAGCCACTGCTGGAGACCTTTGGACCTCTGCTCCTCTGAGGACAATATGCCATTGTTATTGAGGGATTCATCCTACTAGAGATTAGAATACCACCTACCTGTGGCCAGTACTGAAACAACTATTTGAGTAAAGTTAGTTTTGATTGCAGCCAACCTTTGTCTAACACAGAATCCTCTGTAGATGCTTGCAGTTCAGGTGAGCTTTGTGGGTACCCCTGGATGTAGGTCATCCTTAGGAGATGAGGCTCTATCTGTTTGTTGGCCATGTCTTTCAGCCGCTGCTGGACCGCAGCCGTCAGATCCATGTAGGCCTCATCGATGCTGGCTCTCTCAATCACAGCAAAGCGAGACATAACCTCAATCACCTCCACACTCGCCTCCCTGTAACTACACCAGGAGTGAGATATCAAATTAACATAAATTTACAAGGCCCGGGGGTGCAAAGGTTATACATCACCAGCACTTACTGCGTTAGGTCTGCCTTGCCACGAGACTCACGCACACGTGCCACTTGGAGGTCTGGGCACAGTTTCTTTGCATCGTCCACCCACATGTTCTTGGTGACACCGTGGGCCCTGGCCTCGTAGCTCACAGCTATAATGCTAGTAGAAGATGGTATTTAGTTGAGAACCACATCAACTCAAGTTTATATATCAGGAAAGCAATGTTAACAGTAAATCCAAGGGTTTATCTGTGGGAGATGGGGTCAGGTAAGTTCCCAACACAGAGACAGTGATTTGAATGGTTCATGCAACTGAATCCACACAAGCTGAGTGTAGGGTCACCTGTGAGGTGTGTAGTGTCACTCACTTCATGGATGCTTTTGCGATCCGAACGTGGTCTGAGTGATTGGATCTCAAGACGCATTACGTTACTATCAGGTCTAAAAGTGTCACTGCAATGCTGCGGGGTCAAAACGTTGACCAGGGGTAAGTCAGAGGTTTCAGGGTCTCCAACTCCAGAGACCACCCTCGTTCACTTCTAAGTTACATAACTTTTTCTGACTGAACTTGAATTTTCAGACGCTCTAGTCAGTTATTTCCTGACTGGTCATATATTTCCTTCTGTAGCTACTGTTGGGGCTGGACAATAATAATACAAATAAAAAAAGTATCAAGATAAAACTTTCATACATGTTAACTGTATGACTAAAGGTTTTACAAATGATGTGGTTAAATTTATTTATAATATTCTATTGATTAAAACACATTGCCCAGCCTCAGCTCCTGAGTTCATTTAGATTGTACTGATGATACTTGTAATTTATTACTCTCAGACCAACTTCAAACCACTTTGATTTCCTTCAGATACTGAGGGGCTGTGAGGATTTACTGAGCAGTGACGAAGACATTCAGAGGCTTCGTGTTAAACAGGTGCATGAATCATGAAGAACTGAAACTCACCCGCCTCCTTTCCACGTCTTGTACTGGGCCACCACACAGGGAGTGTTGCTCAGAGCTGCGTCCAGCCTCTGCTCCACCTGCACGTAGAAACAGTCCATGTCCACTAACGCCACCACCCGCTCTCTGCCAAACTCCATCACCGGAGAGGAGGCTCGCTCTGCGGGAGGGAAACGTAAAGAAACCCCGGCCCCGGGTGATCGGCTCACTGGAGTTGAACCGGGCGCCAAAGTCTCTGTTTCCGTCGCTTTGTATTTGACGCAGTGGACCGAAGTTACATGACGACGTCATCAAAGGTCGACGTGAATGTCGGACATTTTTGGCGGACATTGTGGTGAGGTCATCATCACCACAGCCTGGGTAAAGAAAAAACACAACAAGTGTATATCGTTCTTTATTTAAATAAGAAAGAAAGAAAGAGGGACGGGAAGAGAGAGAAAGAAAGGAAGAAGGCAGAGAGGAGAGGAAGGGAGAAGGAAGGAGGGGGGGGGGAAGAGAGAGAAAGAAAGGAAGAGAGGAGAGGAAGGGAGAAAGGAGGGAGGGGAAGAGAGAGAAAGAAAGGAAGAAGGGAGGGAGAGAAAGAAAAGGGGGAGAAAGAAGGGAGGGAGGGGGGAGAGACTAAGAAAACAAGAAGGGAGGGAGGGGAGGAAGAAAGAAAGGAGGGAGTGTGGAAAAAAGAGATAGAAAAGAAGGGGAGGAAGAAAGAAGGTAGGAGGAGAGAGAGAAAGAAAGGAAGAAATAAATAAAAAGGAGGGAAGGGAAGAGAGAGAATGAAAAAGAAAGAAAGGGGGAAGGAAAGGAAGGAAGAAAGCACAGATTCAATATTTTACAGTTTAACCATTTTTTAATAAATGACTTTTTATGTAAAATGTATAAAAAAAAACAACATGGTTTATCCTTCAAAACAAAAGTTTTCAACATTCACACAGATACTGATATGTACAGGCCAACACATATTTAAATACAGTATGGTCAATAATGAAATACTTATTTCATTTTTAGTTCTGTAAAATAATTACTAAAACCATTTTAATGCAGCTGCTAATTTCAGGCAATATTGTGACTTTATGTAATTTAGATAATACATCTCTGATCCGTATTTCTCTTCAAGGTGACAATTCTTGATGTTTTAGATTAAACCAAATGTATTTCCTATTATTTATTTGCTAATAAACATCACTGGCATATTCCTTCTTTGCTTGGGTATTTTAAAAATGGAACTTGGGGTCGTTGACTCCATCAATTTTTGTTTTATCAGTAATGACCAGTATCCACACAAGGAGGTTGATAGATATTCTGGAAAATGTTCAATCAATTGATCAGGACAACCACCAGCTCACCAGAAAGTAGAAGGATCACATGTACAAGGCACAAAGCCCAACAAGGCCATATTGCTTCCCCCAGCTATTTACATAATCCATATGTCATACCTAAGAGGAAGAAGAACTAAAAATGCAATTGCAGACTAAGTGGAACTAACAAATGGAAATCATACATAATAAAATGTACTAACCAATGTAATGCAACTTCCTCATATGAGGATGACAGTTTTGGGAAATAGGAAGTAGTGAGTCAGTATTTCATTGCATCTTGTTCAGTCTCCTCACTCTCTGACATGGCTCTTCATCCCACAATTCTTCTCATCCTCACTGGACTCACAGGTCAGTCACAGGCTCATGTTAAATTTGTTCACATACACGTGTTTACAATGACTGCAGATTTACCAGTTTTTATTTCATAACTTGTAGAGAAATTGTTGATCTTTGGAGGGTATAACACATTTGCTAATTGTGTCTGTTCAAACACTGTATTTGTTTTTGTCGCAGGAGTTCACAGCGTAATCACCCTCAGTACAGTGTCGGTGAAGGCTGGAGATTCCATCACCATCCCATGTCTCTATGACTCGAAGTACAAAGACAATGTGAAGTACTTGTGTGGAGGTAAAGATTGGAACAGCTGCTCATATCTAGTTAAAACAGACAAACCAGATACTTCAGGAAAGTTTTCAATTACTGATTATAAATCCCAGCGAATTTTCATTGTGACTATAAAACATCTGAACAACATGGACACTGATTTCTGGTGTATCGTGGAGATTGATTATGGAAAAGATGATGGGGCGTTATTTCACCTGTCAGTCACCAGCGGTAAGAGCCTTTAACTCCCCTTAAACACATTTCAAATATTTTAGACTGATTACTTTGTTTTACGTTTTAAGGGATTCTTCATCTATCATATGTTTTCAAACATTTTCCCAATTCCCCAATATCAACCAGTTCTTCCTCCCACAATTTTTTTTAAATACTAATTTTTTCTCCGAAGGTTTGCCTGGTCTTTATGTGGAAAAGCAGGAGATCAGTGGATTCATTGGAGATAGCATAACCATCAGTTGTTACCACAGCACCGCTGGAGAAATGAGCTGGTGCAAACTGGGCAGGAGCTGTGTGACAGGGCAGTGGGGAGCAATAGATGGAACAAACGTAACCATAGACTCAAAGGTCCACAATGTTTCCCTCGTGTCTATGAGCGGACTGATGAAAGAAAGCAGCGGCTGGTACTTTTGCAATAAAGAACCCTTAAAGATGCCAGTGCATGTCACTGTTACTGAGAAAACCACCAGTAAGTACTACAAGTGATTATGAATATAAATGCATTCCCTGTATAATTATTTGTAAATGTTAAGATTTAGTTAAGTTAATATTAAGATTCATTATCATATAACTCTTTTTTATCACTGTCCTGTTTTGAATCATAGCCACTCTTGCAACAACCAAATGGATCACTGGAGGCCAAACACATCACAGGTCAGTAGTCTTTACATTTAAAAAAGAATATATAAGAATGATGCATTTTACCATTGTTCAAATTCAAACAGGCCATTTATTGTTGCTAATTTCATTTGTGTGCTCAAAATATATTCTGCAGGTCAATGAGCCTCATCATCTGTCTGAGTTTGTTGGTCATTGTGCTGCTGGCCTTGTTCATCTGGTTTATGTTGAAAAAGCACAGTAAGTCTGAGCTGAACTGGGATAAATCCATTTCATGTTAGTGATTTTTAAGTATTTTCACTTAATATCTGGAGTACGGTGAACATTGAGAGGCAGTAACAGGAGTTTTTCATTGTTTAACTTTTAGAGGAAAACAAGTCAGAAACAGCAGCCATCACAACGGTGACGGTAAGAGACGCCTGATATTTCCCCAAAATCATTTACAAAGAGGGGCCAATTCTATGTCCAATATCAATGCACAATTCCTGATTCAGTAAGGTGCACATTTAAGTCTTTCCTTGGTTACTTTTAGTTCTTTATCTTTGAGCAAAGCCACACATTGTGAATAGATTTAGAAAATCGTGGTTTGTTCAAGCAATTTGTTTGTTTAATAAAACTTAATAAAGGAAAATTGTTGACAAATTTTCATATTTATCGGGAGTATAGTTTTTATTATATATTTATTTATATAGAGGTGAAGGTTAAAGGAAAATAGAGAAACGTCATGAAATGATGATAACATAGAGAATGAGCACAGTAGAGATGGATTGAACAGGTGCTTGTAGGTAAGTGAATGTTAATGTCATGCTCATTTCTATAAGGTGTTGGCCTTGGACCTACTTGTTTAAAATGGTTCATGGTGATGATTTACATACATACAGATTATGGATTTGAATGTGAGGCACAACAGAACACTTCTGAATCCATCCATTTTAGTTTCCTTTTTCAACAGGCTTCACAATTTGGGGAATTTTTTTCTATTTGTGAAGCAATGTCTGAGAAAGGTTCTGACATTTGGTTTCCTCCTTCAATACAGGCTGAAGCGGAAGTAACATACTGCGATGTAAAACACCAAATAAAACCTTCAGCAAAGGTAACACAGTAATATCAGGAAGTGTCCCACCAGACATTTGCGGCACTGACTCTCACTGACATGTAGAAACTCATCTTTATAAACAGGCTTTTTCAGTTTTCCGATTGTCTTTTTATTTTAATTATTTTATTGATGTGTTTGATAAATTGTTGTGTTTTGATCTGCCATGTAAGGTGACCTTGAGTGCTATGAAAGATGCCTATAGATAAAATGTGTTATTATTATTATTAATCATTTTACTTGTGTGTCTAAAGAAACTGCACCGCAGCGTACAAGATAAGGGGCAGTTTATGGATATATCTTATTTCTATTTGATAAAATGGGTCTTATAATTGTTATATTGAGTCTATGATATTATATGTAGCCTATATGTGTATTGTTCTTGTGGAATTTTATCCATTATGAGAGGGCAACTGAGCACATGTTTGATCACAAAACCATATTGGGGTTAAAAATTCTCATGTAATTCTTACTACTAATTGTTACTGTAATAACAACTGTGGAAATATGGATCAAATCTAATCAAATTAAAATGTTATTTTTTTCTCCTCAGGTAGACCAGGTAACCAAAGTACACTACAAGACACAAACATGCTTAAACATAACTTCTTACTTCACCATCTGCAGCTAAATGAAATCAGTTTTAAATCCAAAGCAGAAAATGTTCCTTTTCAATATTTGTGTGTTTGCCCCTCCCCCCTCCCAGAGACCATGTACTGAAACTGACATGGAAGTGTTGTACAGTTCTGTGGTTACCATTAGACAACCAACAGTAAGAAGGGTAAATATTAAAACTACTGATCCCAACTGTAAATCATTTCTCATGTTCTGTATTTCAGTTGTTTCATTTTTTTTTTCATGGTCTCAAAATATCAGAAAATGCCACTTTTTAATCCACATAATCACTGAAGCCACATTTGTTTGTTTTTTCATATATTTGATTTTCATAATCATTGCTCTTCTTCTCTAATTGTCACATTTACTTCTGTTCTCCAACAGGCTGAAGCACAAGATACAGATGTTACATACAGCATGTAGGCTCTGTCCCACCAAAATACATGAACTGTTCAACATTTAATCTGTAAATCACTTGGATATTCTGTAGCAATTATTTGTATGCTGTTATTGCTTTGTTGTGCTTTAGTTTCTTTCTACTTTTTTCTACCCTTCACTACAAAGCATAAAGAAGCATTGGCCTGTTTGATTGCTAAATTTAAATGTTCGATTGTACCATTTATAATTTCAGACAAACATAAAGCCAGGGGACAATGTCAAGCAGAGTTCATAATCTCACAAAAACCTCATACTGGGAATATACATTCAGGATTTTTAAAACGTTCCGTTTTTTTAAGAGAAGTATACTTTAATATATTGTTCAAATTCATTTTCAAAAATAATATATTTAAATGTAAGTACTTATAAAGCTTAACTCTTGGAATTTTCAGCCACTCTTTGCAGATCACTTTAGAAATGTTTGAGACTTTCTTGCACAGCGGGCGAGTTTTAAATCCAGTGTGTTGAAGTCAGTGGAATGTGAAGGCTTCACTTCACATTCGTGTCCAGAATATGTGGATTTTTAGTTCTTAATTCACAATAGTTCTTCAAACACCAAGTAGAACATTTTCAGCTCTACTCTTAGCGAGGAGTGGGGTTACCGAGAAATGTTATATAATGTAATAATAATATATAATTTCCACTGTATATGCTATATTTCTATTAAACTCTATTAATTCCAAAGTTTTCACTCATGATCTGAGCTGTTGGGTTTCTCTGTAATTCATTAGGTCTACACGTCACTATGTTAAGTGCCTTGAAATAATAAAGTTTATTATCTGCATCAATAAAACTGTTCGGAATTGAATTGATTTAAAATGGTTAAATCCAGGGAAGGACACCACAGTGCAGACAAAATGGCGGACATCCGTACTCTGCAAGCGAAACTGAATATATACACTTCTTAATTGATGTAAATCGTTGATCCCGCCTTTCCGCTTTTAAATATGGAGTCGAAGTCATGACGGCGCCTCCCTGTGGAGAGAGGACCGCACAGCAGCTGGTCCAGTAGCAGCGCTGTCTCCAAACAAACATCTGAGACTCTTCTCTCCTGTGAGCATTCGGTGAGTCCAACAGTCACTTGACTCCTCGTTGTTCGAGACATTTGTTTGAGCAGATGTTTTGCTCTAGTGGAGGAAAAGCAGTTTTTTTGTGTTTGTGTTGTTTTGTATCTTAAAGAGAGTTCTCTCTGCTCCAAGTCTGAGAAACAACGATTTCAACTGAGTAGTTTGTTTGTTCTTCATCCCTGAACGTGTTATTGTCTTGTTTGTTAGTTGATCTCTGGACTCTTTATTGTATCATTCAGACTTTTTCTTTTCTCACTACTTTAGATTGTAATTCTGTGTGTTTACAGACAGAAATCTTGTTAACTCAACATGAAAAGATTCTTTGTGGTTGAAGTTGATTCGACGTTAAAGAAACTTTTCTACAGTGTCTTTACGTGTTGAAAAAGAGTCACTGAATCACTACGGGTCATGTTTTTACATTAAAGTATCATGTAATAAATATTGTGTGACTAGGCCGACAGCCTGCTGTCAGTACTCAGGATTTTAAACTCAATGAGGATTGAACAACCATTGTTGAAGAAGGGACTCTTGTATTTTACATAAAGCTTTATTTCACTGTGATGCATTCAACTTCTCTGGATTTAGACTATAAAGATTCATTTTTATGAAATTGGGAGGTAAGTCAGGAAGTGAATCAGGGAGTCACTTTTGGAGGGAAACTGCAAAGGCCTCACCTCAAGGCCTCACCTGCGAAAAAACCCAAAACCCTTCCGTTCAAACTGTGAAATGTTCCCGTCCGCTCCCAGCAGCCTTTGGAAAAGGAGCTACGTTTTAATCTTTCAACTGAGGAAACAAACTGTCAGATCGGAATTTTCAACTTCTTTCACTGACTTCTCTGACAAGTTCAACTCAAGGTGAGTTTGAATTCTTTTTATTTTAGTTTTTGAAAAGGATTAATTTGAGTTGTTTTGTTTACAAACATACAATTAAGCTCAATACAACCATTTTAAGTGCATGATGTAAAGGACAGAGGTTAAATTCAGGTGAAACCATTTTCAATGAAATCATTAGTAATTAATGTGTGTTCACTTAACTCACTATTTTATTTTCATATATTTGATATTCTATGGCACATTTAATTATGTTGTAAGTTACTGTTGGTGGCAATGTTTGGATTTCACAAACAATTTAAAGAAAATAAAAACTTCCATCTTGAGATAATGAAATGTGTAAAGAAGTACATTTGAAGTTGTTGATTTTGGTAGATAATTAGTAGTACATATTACACATATTGAATCGTTACTTAATGAAAAATATGACACCTTGTCTTCCTGTTCTCATTCTGCAGGTATGTGACTCCAGAGCTGCACAATCCAGATCTTCTACTTGGCAACCATTTCAATGTTTTACTTATTGATGCTGGTTGTTGTTGGCGTTGTCCTCACATGTACATTATGTCAATGAACTCTTGGTGACATTTAACAGGGAGAAATAACTGTCGTACAATAATAGATTCAAAAATGTGACATCATTTGACATTTGTCATTGCTGCTGTTAAATGATGTTACATTTTGGCCTGACTGGCCTGGCAGCCCTCAAGAGACACTTCATTACACCTATTTTAGGCTTCTCACACTTTAATGAGTATTTATTATTTGTATATTTATTTTTACTATCAGCATATGAGACTTGCAGGTCAAATTATATTATCTATCTATCTTCTACCTATCTATCTTCTATCTATCTATCTACAGCCTATATTCACATTGGTTAAACAGTGCTTATAAGTTTGACCTACAGGATCTTTATTTTTTTCATCACAGTGTTGGAAATATCCGGTAATCCTTGTAAGAAAAAACATTTCAACAGTTTCTTCTTATATTACGCAGCCACGCTGTGATGTAAAAAGTACTTTCAGTCAGGCACACTGCGCGGCCGCCTCGGGTCCTGAGCCGCGGCTGTGATAGGTGTGGGTCTCGTTGCGGTGCAGTCTCCTTCAGCTCGCCCTCCAACCGGTGACGCCTTTTCCGGCCGTGCGGTTTGAGGAACATCTCCGTGGAAGTCGTTTTACTTTACCACCAGCCTCATCTCTTACCGGTAAGTGAACCATCTAAGCGGCCTGACGCTGTTTTGTTCCCGTCGATGAGAGCGACAACATGCGGCGGAGCGAGTTACACACATGCCGGTCCTCTGCAGGCTAGCTAAGTTAGCTAAGCTAGCCGCAGTTAGCGTGCTGCGTCTGACACATGTGGAGTTAATCACGGCAGCTTTTCTTTGTTTTGCACGTTTCATTTGTTGCTGATGAGCCGGTGAATGTTGTATTTAAAGTAAATGAACCAAGTCAATCCCCTTTACTACTTTGATTTCCATCGGGCGCTCCGTTAATCTCCCTCTGGCCTAGTTGGCATACGTGAGCTGGAAATGCGAGTGAACACTTGAATTAACACATCGCGCTAATTGTCACCGGCATGTGCGTGGCCACGCCAAGCGGTGGCTGCCAACTCACGTGGAGGAGTAGTTTTATCGAGAGACAGGCCTGAACAGGACAAAATGGCTCCTGTCTCTGAGTAACCTTGTCCATCGGCTGTTACACACTTAGGACAAGTGTGTGTGTCTGTGATTGTCCACTGTCTGTGTCAGATGTCACATGTAGCTACATGAAGCTAGTAATGTTAATTTTAAATGTGTGATCAGAGGCAGTTAATGTCCTCAGCTGGAATAAATGAAGCTGATCCTGTAGCAGAAGGGGATGACAGTGTGCAGCAAGGACTGCATTCCCCTCAATCTTGTACAGCTGCTTTAAAAAACCTTTGTCATCTACAGGAGGAGGATGGATAGTAGTGAGGTGTTGGTTTTAAGAATGCTGTGGCAACTGCAGCAGGAACAGATGCAGCTGACATCCTTATCCTAACCATTTGTTTTTTTTAGAATCGATAATACTCACTACCACAGATCCTGCATGTATCCTCCATGTGTATAAACATATATATTTAAAACTATTACTTTTTTTAAGCGACTAATATCTTGCTACTTAACCAACAATAGCAGTACTTGCATTTTTCTATTCACACAGTAACAGTTGGGGTGCAATTATGAAGTTTATTATTAAAATTATATATTATGAGCCCAAGTTATTATTCTGTCTTGCTGTTCAACTGGACCACCACAGGTGGAAATGTACTGCAAGAATCATTTGAGCATTTTATTTCACTTCTGTTTACAGATACAATGGCCGTGCCTCCCACATACGCTGACCTGGGCAAGTCTGCCAAAGACATCTTCAACAAAGGCTATGGTAGGATTCTACACAGTCTGGCCAATCATTTCTGTGATGACGAACATCTTGTGCTGCCAAGTAAAGTCGATGTAGCTGACAAAGTATTTGAACTTTCTTCTCTTCAGGATTTGGCTTGGTGAAGCTCGATGTCAAGACAAAGTCAAACAGTGGAGTTGTAAGTACATTTCTTTGTGGTTTCAGAACAGATTACTAGAACCTGCTGTACTTCGTAGTTCACAGCATGTTAAGTTAATTACATTTCCTTACTCTGCTTTGAAAATATTTATTGTGCATTGTCGGCCATAAAGGTAACAAGCTGCTACCACCCAGAACAATAATTCTGCTTCAAAGTTTTAACTGTGCTCTATCATACAGTGAATCATCAATTCTCCTTAAGCAGTGTTTTTTCTCCAAATTAAAGTCATAAATGTCAATTTCGTGGTATTGGCTGCCTCTGTGTATATATGTATGTGTCTGTTAGTCTTAAAGTGTGGTCCTCAAGTCACCGACTATATTGGGATTTACCTCAGAGGCAGCTTTGTCCACATTGGCAGATGTTGGTGTTTATAGTTACATTCACAAAGCTTAAATTTAAAATTGTGTAGCTGAGATCAAAATGAAGGCTGACTTTAAATATGGGTGTGGTCCAGTCCTCGAATACTACACTAAAACAGTATTACTCACGCAATGTATTAAAGAGTGTTGAGCCCTCATGAGTCAGAACATAACTAGAACACAAACATCACGCAAATGTTTGGTAATGGTGCGATTAGTTTTTTCGAAATTCATGGTTGTTTCATCCACAGTCACTTTTCTTAAATGTGTCATTTATTTCTGAAATTGTCTCTTGCAGGAATTCAAAACATCTGGATCCTCCAACACCGACACCAGCAAAGTAGCAGGTAGCCTGGAAACTAAATACAAGAGGTCCGAATATGGTCTGACCTTCACTGAGAAGTGGAACACCGACAACACCTTGGGAACAGAAATCACAGTTGAAGATCAGGTTAGATTTACTTATTTTCTCCATTAGTTTAACATCAGCTGTCCAAGTAGTTTCACATTTCACGCATCATTAATTTCTGTAACTGTCAAATGGATTGTTCTGTTTTCTCACAGATTGCCAAGGGACTGAAGTTGACTTTTGACACAACCTTCTCACCAAACACTGGGTAAGATCTTAGTTACTATAAAGTGTTCATGATAAAGTTAGTTTCATGTTATTTAAACTCACATGTAAACACAACAAATGACTGCACTGCCTCTCCACATGACTACATGTTTGTAACCTGATCTGTGCTGCTGAAAAGTGGAGTAGCCGCGTTTGACCCTGATCGCTCTATGCAGTTTTTCTGATGTAACATTACTGCTGTTGGGTTTTACATATTTGTATGTTTGGATGATGTTTTGCAGTTTGTTGTTTTCAGGGAGGAAATTAAACTCTAGTTTGCCCATGAGGAATATGGCACTTGACCCAAAAGGGCACGTGCCTGCTTTCATATTGAGTCTAAGCAGGTTGTTGGAGTTATGTGGCTACATTGAGACAGCATGTTCAAGGCTTCAGTGTCGTGCTCAGACTGAGAAATAAAAACCAGCAGCAAGTTAAAGGCTGGTTTGTAGAAAGAGAAATGGAAGTTTGAGTCAGCCATTATTCAAAGCTGGTGATTTGGCTGATCATTTTTGTAATCGTCCACCAATGTTTCCTATGAAGGAAAATAAAATTTGTTGACCTGCTTGCAACACGAGCTGACAGTTGGCATTGAGCCTGGGTGTAGAGTTAGCTCTATGGGAGCCATAAATCTGAGCCAGTGGGTGCAACAACATTGTGGGGGGGTTTAAAGATAGGCCAAGTGTTCCCCAAGGTTTTTCATTTAGTGTTTATTTTTCTAAATAACATTTCACAACAAAAATACATCTTTGAACATGTCAAAACGAGACACAATAAAAATCAATCTGTTTCTAAGTCTTTGCAGTCACAAATGAGCTTATTGTTTACTGCACTCGTGTAACTGAAGCTGTGTTTTATTTACTAATCTGACTTGATTGCGTTTTCAGTTTGAGGTTGACCAGTGTTTCTCACCAACAGCAAGAAGAGTGGCAAAGTCAAGACCGCCTACAAGCGCGAGTACGTCAACCTTGGCTGTGATGTCGACTTCGACTTTGCTGGCCCCACTATCCACGGGGCTGCCGTTGTCGGCTACGAGGGTTGGCTCGCCGGTTACCAGATGAGCTTCGACACTGCCAAATCCAAGATGACCCAGAACAACTTTGCCATTGGTTACAAGACTGGAGACTTCCAGCTCCAGACCAATGTGTAAGTGGGAAACTCTTCACCGTTTGGGTTTTCACTGTCTTCAGGCCACTCAGTTAACAAAGAGAAGCATAACATGTATAGGTAGTTATGTGTGTGTTGCCATGTGCAAACCATTGGTTAACTAAAAAAATGTAACAATGAAAAGGTCCAACACAAAACCTCACATGGCTTTATGCAGGTTGCTATGGTTAAATATAACCTGAGGAGCTGTTACAGTCTGACGGAAGAAATGCAGCAGAGCAGCTTCATGTTAAACTTAGAAAGTAACTGAATGTGACCTTGTTTACTCCTTCTAAAGGATTCTGCGTGTGGTTTAAGTAAAATGCACCAGTTTCCTCCAAACAAATACATCTTCTAAATGGGTGTATGGATAAAAACATAAATTATTTAGATACGTTACAGGTTTGTTTATTAAGCAATTCCCAAATGACAATAATAACCAATACAATCAGTATTGTAGTCAGTCATAAGCAATCACAACCAATTTACAATTCATTTATTTAAACTGGCCTGATGGATTCCTTTTCTATAAATCAGTTTGTTGATTTTGTAGTTCTTAATTTCTGACAGAAAAGGAAAGAAAGAGGATGGATGTTTGTACAAGCTGCTGGAAACAGCTTCAACATGCGTGAAACCTCTTAGCTTTCAAATATTTACCTTAGCTTGATCTCATTTGTTTTAGTAATGATGGAGCTGAGTTTGGAGGCTCCATCTACCAGAAGGTGAGCGACAAGCTGGAGACAGCCGTCAACCTGGCCTGGACCGCTGGCAGCAACAGCACACGCTTCGGTATTGCAGCCAAGTACCAGCTGGACAGTGATGCCACCATCAGTGTAAGTAAAGCAGCACAGACTTGCCTCGTCCACCTCGCTCTGAAAAAGAAAGATGGGACCACTACTCATCTACTGACTTGTGATGTTTTGTGTTTTTCCAGGCTAAAGTGAACAACAATAGCCTTGTTGGTGTTGGTTACACCCAGACTCTTAGACCAGGTAAGTTTGTGTCCTGCAGGGAAGCATGTGTCGTACAAAACGTTTACAGTTAACATAGATTTTAGTTAATCCCCTACGTATTTAGTCCACATACTTAACACCTTTACACTTTTCTCCTGAGTCCTTGTATTCACCACTTAAGTACCAAAACTAGAGCTGGGCCATAATGTGCTAATGTTTGGGCTACTGCAGCCGAGCACATAGGTATGTCAGGAGTGTGAGTGAGATAAAAGAGAAAATGAGGACAGAAAATGTTGAAAAATCAAGCGTCAGCGTTAATAAGAAGACTCCCAAACGGACACGGCACAAAGCTCCAAAGACAAGGACATTGTTGAAAAGGAGGAATTCGGTGATGTGGCGATATTTTGGCTGTTTAAAGTCCGAACAAGAAGCAGAGTAGCGTGCACTGCAAAATGTGATGAAAGCATGTTCCCACAAAGATGGTGAATGCCACTATAATCTTTTTTTACCATGTGAAGTAGAAATGACAGAAATAGTGATTTGATATACATCAATATTGACTGATACTTGTGATGAGATTTCTTTTCTCTATATCACCCATCCATAACTGAGACAATGTTTCATTTGTTGGCCTAGAATAAACTAATTTATAGCAAGCACTACATACATTTCCCATCAACCCCTAATTCCCCAACTTCTGAGAATCAATTCAGCGTTTGCACATGAAATGCCTTACGTTGGTTTCTCTTGCCTGTGCAGGCGTGAAACTCACTCTGTCTGGCCTGGTCGATGGAAAGAACATCAACGCTGGAGGCCACAAGCTGGGTCTGGGCTTGGAACTGGAAGCCTAAGATTTCCTCATACTGCAAAGGACTAGGGAATATTAGAAGAATCTGGCCTTAAAATGTATGTCCAACTCAAACCAGCAAAGGGATATCTGGGAGAGATCGAGTCAAAGGCTACAGCAGCAAACTTCCAACTTGAGTACCACTTCCAACTCGGTGCTTCTGTCATTTTACCTTTGTTGCTCTTTTGCTTTGTAACTGCGTCTATTCAAGAGACAGTTGGTGGTGTACTATTTATAAATCATTGTCATTGTTCCTGTCCAGCACTGCCATAACAATGAAATCAATACAATCCCTTTGCCTGTCATCAGCTGTGTGTGACTTTATTTGGAAATGATCCCAGACCCTGTTTTTGTGAGAACATCAGGTGATGGTTTGTGTGGCGAGCGATGTCATACCATCACTGATTTTTACAATCATCTGATATTCCTTTGTCATCATTTGCAAACCTTGTTGAGTACACTAGGCTTTTTTCTGCTTTTATTTAAATACTGCTGCACCCTTCCTTTCATGCACACAAGGACAAACTCTAACTCTTTTGTTTTGTGTCGGTCTTCTGGGTTTGTGACCTTTACCTGGGAAGTTTCTTGAAGTTGGCTCCGTAAGGAACCTGTAAACATGGCCGACCAAGCAGAATTTAGTTTTTGTTTATTCTGTACTAACAGACAACCGGGACACACAGTGTTCACAATAATGCCAAACTATCCTTGTCCAGAAGAGGTGTGACTTAGTTGCACATATGCACTCTTGGTTTTTCCCTGTACCGGGCAGAGACCGAGCCCACAGGAAGTGATGGAGGTCCTTAAGTGTATGTATGAGTTTTCAATAAAGTCTTTGAACTCAACAGATGCATTTTTAATGTGATGTTATAGTGCCATAACAGAAACGGTTCATTTAATAGTTTGGGATCAGCAGTAATGTGCTAATGGAACTTATTAATAGCCTCTAGTTTTCAGTTTCATCTACTAGCTATCTGACCTGTAAGGGTAACCTTCACAATGGAACAAGTTATTAAAAACTCCAGAACCTCTTCAGAAACTCTATTTTTAAAGCAATTTTCAGAAGTCCTGCAGTCTATTTAAAGACCAGTCGAGCTATAAATAGACCGACCAGTTTTTTAATCAGTCTTTAATCTCCTCTGCATCTTTGCACCAGAATTCAAGCAGTTTTTGTCGAATCATCTCAAGCTCGGTCATATTTAACGAAGAGCAGTGAGTCTCCATTTCCATGTCCTCGGAGTGAAGGTTCTGAGTTAGTGAATCAAGTTATTTTGGAAAGGATGTCACATACATCCACTGCAAACTTATTTTTAAATTAGGAATGTTCAGCTTGATAAGAGTAACTCCCACATCTTATGAATACCTGAGATGTATTAGTTTTAAGAAGAAATTAATAAAAGGCAAATTAAACCAAATAGACACTATTTTACAAAACATTAATAAAGGTATTAAACTATACAAAGATGAGAAGTAACTGAAAGGACACAATGTTTACTTTAAACATTTCAATGAAAACACTATTAGTTGAGATCAAATGCCTTTATTTAATACACATCAATACTGTGCTGTCCTCTACAGTCACTAATATGTTCATGCATGCCCTATTGTGTTGTTCACATACAGAGTTAAAGGTAATAACATATATGACCAAATCTGTTTATTGCTGAGGCATGAAAAAGAAGAGTTGGACTCACTGGGGAGGAAAATCAGGTCATGAAGTCAGTCAATGAATGATGCACCTTCACAGCAAAAACATGTGCATCCTGACTCCTGCTGCAGTGGCATACAGTCATCTGTAGTTTATATCAACTGGACCAACTTATTGCAAGAGACCAGGGCAAATATTGAACCTCTTGCATTATCCTTTGCAGTAACATATAGTTCATGTTATTATATTCAAAGTGTAGCTCACAATTACAGTACTTTTTGATCTTGCATTTGTGAAGTAACGCACCAAAGTAGATAAATTCACTTTGCATTGTTTACATTCATAGCTATGTTCGTGTGGTGGTTCAAAAGATTATGACGTAGGAGTCAAAAGTCCAATCTGCTGCAGACAGACGGATTGTGCTTTCTCTGTCATTTTGAAGAAGAATTACAGCAGCAGCAGTTTTCTTCTCTTTGCTCTGTTCAGGCCTTGCAGTTGCATTTGCTTTTGTTTTTAGCCATTCCCTATTTTCAGCTTGAAATTCCCTGATGTTTACATTTTAATTTCATCCTTTTGTTAAATTAAATGTAACCTCTTATTTCTGCAAATGATTCTCCATTGTGTCAGTCAGTTCTGACTTCAGATCCTGACTTCTTTCTGTCCCATGCATCTCATTGATTTCTTCACTAGTTGTCTTTTCATTTGACAAAACAGCTTGGTCTGTTTCAATTTTATTTTCAATGTTTCTCTGATCGTTAACTTCAGTTAAACTAGACTTTTCAGATGAGTCTTTATCACGTCCAGCATCTTTGGTGCTTTTTACTACTTGATCTTTTTCAGATTGATTGATTTCCTTCCGCTCAGTATAGCTGTTTTCCTTTTCCTTGAGTGTTGTGCTTGAAGTTGCTCGAGCCTTTTCTGAAAGCTCCTCTGTCTCTATGGAGACGATGCTCTTTATCTGTGTTGTAAAATCACTGCTTTTCTCATCCTGCACTTGAACAGCACTGCTCGGCTCAGTTTTGCCTGTTTCTTTGGTCAAGACCTCATCAACTGACTTTCTCACTTCATTTGAGATAAAATTATCTTTAAGTGCATCTTGTTTTTCATTATTCATGAGTTCCTCCTCCGCAGTGACCTCCGATTTTAAGTCTTTCTGAACTGTTGCCTTTGTCACCGGATCTTTCTCTTCTTTAGGGTTTTCAGCTTCTTTTTTCAGTTGCTCATTTTCTTCTTCAACAAGACTCTGACTTAATACAACTTTGCTTTGAGTCTTTTTGTCTTTGCCACTCACACCTTCTCTGTCAGCTGCTTCAGTTTCCTCTGACTCCTCTTTTCTGTTTCTACCCTTCTCACCATCCTCCACCTCTCCAGGACTCCCTCGATCCCTATCATCCCCCCCATTCACTGAGTTTCCTTCTGATGGATTCTGCTGACTGTCAGACAACTGCTCACTTTCTTCCTCTCGACTGTCTTTATTATCGTCCACCTCCTCCTCACTGCCCCCTCTATCCCTTTTGGCATGCTCCCACTCATCTCTCCCCGCTTCTGTCTCCTCTGATCCCGTGTCCTCAAATTCTGACATCTCAATTTCCCTGGTGGTCTCTGTTATGATCTCCTCCACAAACTTGTACTGGGGCTCCACTCGTCTGTGTGGGCCGCCTGGCCGGCTGAGGCAGGGGAGGGTGTAAACGGGGGACTGGTGGTAGATGTAGGGCAAGGAGATGTCGGTGTCTGACATAGTGGATAGTCGAGCTTCCTCGCTACAGAGAAGTTTCCTGCAAGACAGAGGGGACAGATTTTATCTGCACTAACCAATGTAGAGAACTGATTATAAAGACTTGAGAGAACAAAAAATGAAACTGAAGCATTTTAAAAGGTGATGCTAAGATTAATGAAATCAATTCTTGAGGTGTGTAATTGACCATTACAATCATGATCGTGTTTATTGTCCTGTAGGTATACACATAGTACCAGGAATTTGTTGTGGTGTGTCAGTGCAAGCACAAAAACACCAGAAACTAGAATATATCTTAGTCTTTACGTTTCACATTTGAAAACAATAGTATTATTTCTACTTCATTACAGTATTTCCCTTGCACTGCTATACTTCCCTGTGCTGCTGTGTCCTTTGAGGATTTCCTCTATGAAGGATCAATAAAGGTTCATCTTATTTAAAATGATCATCTTAACACCCCAAAAAAGGGTTGCCATGGTTATAATGATCTCTAATAATACAGAGCACTGTTTCCCATATCTCACCTGTAAGACAGTATCTCCACATCCAACGCCATCTTCACATTTAACAGATCCTGATACTCCCTCAGGTAACCAGACATGTCGAATTTACAGTTTATCAGCTCGTTTTCAAGTTCTTTGATTGTCTTCTGCAACAAGAGAGGAGGGAAGATGTGTCACTGGAGATCTTTTACACAAACCGAGAAGAGGTTTTATGATTTAAAGAACAAACCTTTACCTGATAGTGGATAATTTCCTCCTTGTGTCGATCCTCGACCTCACGCAGCTGTTTCTCCAGCGCGTCCCTGGTGCCTTTGGCGCAGTCCAGATCGGTGTTTCTGGCCTGCAGCCGCCTCCTGTACTCCTGCACCTCCTGCTGTGTCGCCTTTAAAGCCTCTCTCTTTGACTCGGCGTCCCCTGTTAATCTTGCAAACTGGGATCTGAAAGTTTCTCCTACCTGCCAGACGTCGGACACAGCGTGACCTTCCAGCTGAGCCCTCACATCCCGGAGTGCCGCAGTGACGCCAGGTGCGCAAAATCCGTGCGCCTCCACAGTCACCTGCAGATCCCGGATCTGGCCAAACATCTCCGACGCCTCGGCCTCATGGTTTCGCTTAAGTAGGTGGATCTCATCCACGAGAGACTGCGCTTTCTGGTCCAGCAGCAGTTTAGCCCGATACGCGTCATCTATGTCCTTCTTCAGGGCCACGATGTTGCTCTGCGCATCTGATCTGCTGCGCGCCTCCTGTTCGTGTTGTCTCCTCACGCTGGACACCTCCTCTTCTAAATCCTGATGCTCGATTTCGATCTGGTGCTTCTGGTGAGTGATGTCCTGAACCACGCGTCTCAGCCTCCTCAGCTCCGGTCCGTACTCCTCCTCCAGGCGGGATGCGGGCTTCGCTTTCCCTCGGAGCTCCTGGATTTCTCTCTCCAACAGATGATTCTGCTGCTCCAGCTGGTGCACCGTCCCGATGAAGCCCGCGAGGCGATCGTTCAAACCGTGCATCAACTCCTTCTCGTTACGCGGTCCAGACAACGGGCTCATCAAAGTCGTGCGCGTCCCCTTGATCGCGACACCGGTAGGATCGAATCCGGGACATCTCGTTTGGATCCTGCTCGGTACACCTGCTCTGTTGTCCATGCTGCGGTGGCTCGTGCTGTCGTTGTGGGTGCCCAGATGTGCAGAGACGCTCCACGCGCGCTTTTATAACCGTGGCCATGTGCTCGGTGCGGACCGGAACTGTCCACGGTGCTGAAAAGGTGAAGCGTCAGCTGATGCTTTAATGAGCCCGAGTTCACATTTTGTGGCAAAGAGCAGTGACGTGGATGAACTGACTGACGATGTCCTCTTCAAACACATATACACTCACTGTATATAGTAATAATTATAATAATAATAATATTAATAATGACAATCAGATATTATTCACGAAGGAAAGTCTTGCTCCGAGATTACAATATCAAATAGCCTGTAAAACAAATAAAACAATACATTATAGTTTTAAGTATAAATATATAAGATGTTGAAATAAAAAAATAAAAAAAAAAAAAAAAAAAAAAAAAAAAAAAAAAAAAAAAAGATTCCACTACATCTATATTGAAGTTTGATGTTAATCCTTATATTTTTTAGAGTATATGTTTAGTCACATTTTAAGTGCAGGACTTTAACATTTACTTCTGCACAAGTACAGTATATCTGCTTTTTACCCTGAGCAAAGGATCTGTATACAAACCACAGACATGCTGTCCACTTCTGTCACAGCAATATATTCTCTAACAAAAGTATTTTTACATTGTAGTATTTCTCTTTTTACTCAACATCTATCATGTCAACATGTACAGTGTAATTCTTCTTTTGAATGTGTCGGACCACAGCATTAAATAATCCAAATATGCCCATAAAAATAAACACAGGCTTATATTATCTGGAAATAATTTTTTGTTATTTGAACTTTTTCACTCATATTTCAAGTCTTCTTTAAAAACATAAGATTATACTTTCATCTTTCATCAAAACATCAAATTCATACAGCACTAATGTCATAGTGGTCTCATATGTGATCTTTGACATGTTCATATAGTCATAAAAGGAATCCTGTTTCCAGTCTTATCAACCACTCAAAGTGCTTTACAATACAAATCACATTCACCGTTCTCATGCCGCCACTAAATGCTGCACTTTTTCTATCACACACACCTTCACAAACTGTCAGCACAGCCATCAGGGGCAATTCTGGGTTGCGTATCTTGGCCAACGACATTTTCGAAGAGCAGACTAGAGGAGCCAGGGATCAAAATACAGACGTTCCTGTTTGTGAGAAAGCTTCTCTAACTCCTGAGCCGCAGCCGCCCAAGAAGTGTCTTGTGGTGTGTATGTGAAATAACACACAAATTTAAATATAATACGTTTTCCTCTTGTATTTAATATAAAAAACAATGGATCATTAAGAAGACATTTCATTTTTTAACTATAGTGAATTTAGCGTTTAATGGCAATGGTCAGTCCATCGCCCATAGCGATCATGCTCAGATCAATCCTCTGGTCCAGGTGCAGCTTCTTGTTGAGAGCATCCAGTCCCTGGGAGGTGAGGTCACTGGGATCAGGATTCACCACCTTCCCGCTCCACAGCACCTTCAATAACAACAGAGATGTTTCATTCAGGTCTCAGTGAAGATGTGTCGGACCTCATCATGTGTTCTCTAAAAGAAGCTTGTGTACTCACATTGTCAATTGCAATGATGCCCCCCTTTCGTATGAGCTCGAGGGATTTCTCATAGTATCTGTCGTAGTTGAATTTATCAGCATCGATGAACACAAAGTCATATGTTCCCGCTTCCCCGGCTGCTATCAGTTCATCTGATCAAACAAACATCAAAATGAAGTTAAAAAGAAGTTCCAGTTTTATTAGAATTTATGAGAGAGACCCATAAAAGCACTTACTGAGTGTCTTCAAGGCGATGTCATGTCGTACATCTATCTTATGGTCAACTTCAGCCTAGAAAGAAGGTTAGAATATGTGAGTTAAGAGTTTGTTGTGGGCTGTTTAAGCTTCTAATTGTTTTTTAAAGAGGATGTTAAGGAAGGTTGAAACATATTGATTTTCCTGCTTGGCTTCGACATCTTTATGTGACCCAGTTTCCTGAGTAGACGCCTTTTCTCTTTCCAGCCTGCAGCATTTTGTGAGGATGCACTGACAGAAGGTGGACGTGCAGTTTGCTGTCTGCTGCACAATTTCCCCTCTGACAGGCAACAATCAGTCGCACTTAACTTGCAAAATGTCAAATACAAGTGTTTCGCTACAGCCAGGAATTGAACGTTTGACTTGAGTAACCTAACCTGTCCTGAGGAGCGAAGATCAAAGTTTTCATTTTTAACTTGATTCACTTTGAACTTGTGTGAACAACCTGAAGCTGAAATATTTGGAAAGACGTTTTCTCACCTCTTTAAAAAATGGTTCAGCAATCTTTACATAGGTGTCTTCTATTTCACAGGCGATCACGTGTCCGTTCTCCGGCATGGCCAAAGCCATGCTCAGTGCGTTGTATCCTGTGTACATCCCTGCAGAATGAAAACAATGGAAACTGAATCATCTTAGAAATATATTTTTAGTCCTTTCAAGAGGATGAAAAGACAGGAGAGTGTATCAGCCTCTCTCACAACCACAGATCTCAATACCTAATAGTCATGGCAATGAAACATCATCAGTCAAAACTAATATGGGTTGAATTTCACTGATTCAGCTTTGATGGAATTTTTACTATATGAATTTGTATTGATCAGTGAAGGTAAATGACTCCGATCAGGAATCAATTAAGCCTGAATGGTACAGATCAGATCTCTGTCCTGTCAGATTATGTTTTGTCTAATATAATCCGATAAATGACTTTCAGGGCAAAACATTTTACTGCCATAAAATCAGTAACTACAACGCTAAGTGTTCAGTAGTAGTTAGATTTTATAATTATCTATTCAGTTGCCTTGAGCCAGTTAAAATACTCACTTTTAACTTGCCTTTGTGTGCTCACAAAGTCATTGCAATTATTCTTGTGCTGTGTGTATTTGTGTACTCTTTACTTAATCTTACCGATTTCAATGGCTTTAGTTGCGTTAATCAGTTTGATGAGAATTGCCATAAACTGGGCTTGTTCACTGGGGACCATCATAATATTCCATGGGTCTTCAAGGGTCCTCTATAAAGAAAATATGAAACGATTGAATCTATATCATTATAACAACATATTTCTTTCCACTGGAGGCGAGGCCTTATGAGGCCACTGCTGTGTTCTCTTACACTCTGCAGCCCTCTAGTGATCAACATTTGTACTGCTCAATTCCTGAACTGTAATTGTGTTAAATAGTGTGTATAACGCATATTTGTGGACTTAATAACCTACTGATCATTGGTTCCTGCCCTGTAAAGGTGATCAATTCAACCCTAAATCCAAAAATTGAATAGGAATCTAGAATGGCACTTCACCAAGGCCGAAACAAGAATTCTCTAGATCTGCCTACTGATCCGGATCCACACCAAAATGTAAGATCAGGCCCCACCCCTCTACTAAATTTCAAGGAAATCTGTCCAGTAGTTTGTGTGCAATTCTTCAAACTTACAAACAAACAGAGGAAAACATAATGTTGGAGGTAGAAAGTTTGAGATCTTGTGGCTGACATGACCAGATGCCGTAAACAACACAGTGATGTCAAATAACTCATTAACAATAAACAGTTTGAAGAAATCAGTGATTCAATTCATCATCACCACATGAGAGGAGTGGAGGATTTCTCCCTGGTGTCTGTGGCCAACTTACCAGTCTGAGTTTGGTGAGGACCGGGTGCTCCCTCACTGAGTTGTTCACTACATACTGCAGCACAGGGTCGTCCTTCCCTTTGCCGTGGCTCTTCCCAATCAAGCCCGACTGTCCCACGCCTGAGCAACGACAAACACAACACTTTGCATGGTGTTTACATTTTTCTTTATATCTATATATATATATATTCATTCTATCTTAATGCCCTTGTGCTGCTGTAATGTCGAAATTTCCCCAGTGAGGGATGAATAAAGTCTATCTTATCTTATTTTAGCTCCTGTCAATCAAAGAAATCTCTGCTACGAACCAGGTTACCCTCCCCTCGGTCATCTCGTACCTGTCAGCACAACAGCAAGTCCAACACAAAACAGCATCTTAATGTCTGCAGCCATCGTGTTCTGCGCTCTGATAAAGAAAAGGTTGAACAGCTTTAATTTGAATGGACTGAATCTCCTAGTGTCAGTGCTTTTTGTACAGCACCATCTGTTTGTTCTGCTTAACCTTTGAGAGGAAGGTTCAACTTATTGATTTTTTAGTTACAGTACATTGCATAAGTAGGGGAACTTCTATCAGGCTGATACATTTTGGACAAACGTGTCTGAAGATATTTTCTTTAAAATCATTTTAATCAGCAACCGGGAAAGTTATAGACTCAGTGAATGACTTTTTAAAAAGTTAAATACATAAGATTCAATTCCAGAATATTAGGTTCCTCGACATAAGTCTCTGTTTTAAGGCCCCAGCACTGACCACGTTATGTTGTAATCAAACAAGCAAACTTTGTCCTGTTTTATCTGAGTTTGTTCTACCGTCCTCTAGAATTTACACGATTACTCAAGGCTGTATATCACTGTGATTCATGTGTGAAACGTTAACAAGAAACCACTGTCCTCGCTGTGTTGTAAAGTCCATCACATCAACACATGGAGCTCTGGTTTGTCTTAGATGTGTATTAGACTGAATGAAATCAATTGAAATCAGTAATAGAAAGTAGAATGCCAGAATTGTGTTCAAGTGAACTTTTCTATCATGACAATTCTACGAGCTGCACTCAAGAAGGCAAGACTAACGCTATTCATAAAAAGAAAGCATCCAACATAAACACAGCAGAACATCACGCTGAAAGAATTCAAATAAATCTAGGACACAAATTAGTTGACTTTAGTTTCTGTTGTTACATTTTTTTTGTGAAAGGGTACATCTGACATAGTTGGACACGTATCCCAACATACTGAGGTTATGGCACATTACTACAGTAATAAACTGTATCTTTTCATGTACAAAATGTTGCCCCTCAGTGGTGGAATAGTGGAATGGTTTTTTCCATATGTTTTGTTGTATAGTATTGAGGTGATGTTCTTTAACTACAGCAAATTAACAGTGTTTTCCGATATCCATTTTTTTGTTTGCTCTTTAAGGGACACAGACTTGTGGACTTTTAACAGCAAGAAGAAAGTCATCAACTTGAACATTTAATGTCCTGTGTTCACGCTCAGTTATTGTTGCTGAATGTGTAAAAATCTGATTGAAACCTCAGGATTGCTTCATTTTGATCAGATATAAAAATCCAGGTTGCACCATAAGTCATGGGACAACACTGAGATTCCTATTCTGGCTTTGTATGCATCACTCTCAGCCTCTAAAACTTCAGCCCGAATCCTGCAGCACATTCACTGACCGAACTCTCTTGGGTCACAGGAATCTATAATTAAATCCCCACAGTTTGATGCCAAACACAGGAGGCCTTTGAGGGGGGAGCTGAGTAAGTCAGCAGAACTGGTCTGTATCTCTCTATCCACCATCTGGGCCAGCAGCAAATACAGGTGGGCAAACAACTCGAGCCGGTACCTGCAGCCAAGGAACAAGTATGTTGAAATGAAAAATAAGTTTTAACCAGAGGGAATCTAACTTGTGAAATAACTCATTTAATTTCTTAATTAAAAATAAAATTTCGTTAGGATTCGAAGTTCACCTTAAACCCCTAAGATTCTAATAAAAGTTGTGCCTACTTAAGGCACAAAAATATCTTAAATCTTAAAAATATTTTATCATATCATTTATATTTCATTATAAATAATTTTGAGATTGACCTACTAAGAATTCCAACTGTTCTGACTTTAAGCAACTTCTGTTCTGTACTGAGTTTCCCCAGCAGATATCTTACAGGCCTCCTTCAAAGCTTCATATTATATAGCATTCATCTAGTCTTATTAATCACTCACACTCCAAGTCACATTCATACACATTTACAGAGCTTTTTTTCATCATTCATTAATCAGTAACTGTAGAATTCAAACAGAGACAATAAGAAATGTAATTGTACAGTTGTGATGACTAAAGTGCATCATCCTGTGGTTATGGAATCAAAGGTCAAGGCCGATAAAGATAAGTTAAGCACATAAACACATTCTTATTTGAGCTCACTCACATTTTCATCCAATTCAATTCAAACTTCTAGCAGAATAATCCCCAGTGTTTCTGGCCCACACTCCCCGACTGCTATCACACAATTCACATATCAGAAAACTTTATGACTGAAAATTTGACTGTTTCTAAACACAAAGTTGATCAAACTTGCAGATGTATGTCAGGTTTAGCAGAGCATCACTGTAAATAGGGTCAAAAGTGCATTTAAATACTCTTTAGATAGGAAATTCAACATGTGGCACATGTCAGCCATTGTAATCTGTCTTGTAATAATGGTTCTAGTGAGGAAGCTCTACGTCAGCCGTCTTTGAGCTGCATAATGTTGCAGTTTGAACCCGCGTGACATTTAAACTGCAGAACTCTTCCACTTAATGACAGTTAGACAATCCACAGTTGTTCAGATGTGACAGTCGGCTGCTAGTTAGAGGTGGAGAAAGGTTGTTTCTGAGATCCTTAGAAATCTTGCTTCTCCCTCAGTCTCTCCCCATCTTTATTTCATCTCTTCCATCAGTTTGTTGAATTTTAAGCCTTAAAATCCTGCACCTGTTTAAAAGGCCCTGGAGGGTCGACTGACAGGAAACTACATAAACACACAAGTATGAACCAGATTAGGAAATAGACCCTGAGAGTCTGTTGTTTTGGCAAAATCTGATGAATCACACTTTTTTTTTCTAACTTTGACCTTTGTTGCACAACAGACTCAGTATGTTAAAACAGTTTTCATGCAGTACTTATGTCTTGTTATGTCTTATGAAGGAGTTACTCAAGTAAATGCACAAAATAAATGTTCTCAAGTAAAAGTACTATATTAACCTTTCTGATGGAGTAAAAGTAAGTATTGGCTTTTACATATATTTAAAATATTAAGACTAAAAGTAGGCTACCTATTTCCCAAAGCAAAGTTCTACTACATCATTAGGTAAGTCTTGGTGACAGCCTCTTACAGATCCAGCAGTGAAATGTTACCTGCCCCCTCTGATCGGATTAGTGGATCACTTCACCTATCTCAACTAAAAATAACAATATGAGCATGTAAGACAATGTTTTGTAAAAATTTACTAAGTACAGATGTTTACTGATACTTGTAGAAGAATAGAAGTGACTAGTGCCTGAAAATAAATCTACTCATGTAAAATACAGATTCAAGAACTTATTTAAGTGGAGTAACAAAGAAAATGTTACATCTATTCACTTAGTGAGATTTATTGGCTCAAGGAAAAAGGAAGCACTTCATATTTGGTTTTAAAAATATAGATCGTACATAAAAAGTGTAATTTTGTCAGATAACTGATGGTCTTTTGATTTGACAAACTCAGACAGATCATGGACTGTGGATTTTGTTCTGCCTCTAACCATGTGTTTGTGGTTCACAGTCAGTAAAGAGGAGGAATGATTACAGTCACGCTTACATTCGATCATGTGAGGATTGTATTAAAACAGACATTGAGATTTAAAACTTAAACATTAAACATTTTCTTTGAGCTCTGCTGTGGCGTAAGTGGAGTTTAATGAGCGATGTTTGCAGAGTGTCTTCTTCCTCTTGCAACTTCACAAAAAAACAAAACAGGAACACGGAAGACGGTAGCCAGCAACGTTCAAAAAGAGAATTTTGGGGATGTGAGTGGGATGTGAGGCCTCTCCAAGGACAAGAGCTTCCTGTGTGTGCTCCCTCATTAAGAATGCACGGATACAAACAAAAACACGCCACCAACAAGAACCCATCAATTAAATGAGCCCTGACACTGACTGTCTCAAAAAAAATGTTTGAGCTCGTGATGAGGAAGAGTGAGCACACAGCTCTGCTAAGGTCCTCTCAGTGCAAATGAGACACCATGTTTTTTCACCACCGCCTCCCCCCCCCTCCCTCTCTCTCTCTCTCTCTCCCCTCTCTCGCTGCTCCGGGCCTCTGCTTATGTGACGCTAATTGTTTCTGCTACTCGTGCCAAGTACCTACTCTTCCCCAGCACATTCTACAGACAGGCCCCTGGTCCCTCAGCTGCTTTTTGTGTCTGTTTAAGGAATGAAAAAATGTGTGCTGCCATCTGCGGCGAGCGCACCACTGTTCCTCCTCCCGGCCGTGACTGTCAGAGTGCCACAATGATACACACTCACACACTCTCAGAGGTAGAGGGGAAATAAAATATGGCGGTAGAGAAACAAGAAAACAACACTGACACATACAACTTCTAATACGAAACAAAATAATTCAAGAGGTTCCTGTTTTGATGCATTTTTAGTGCGTGTGAGCGAAGACACTGCACGGGCCTTTTCAATTTTGCAAACCATGCAGGAAAAAGAAGAAATGTAGAAACCAAGCCTGTATAAACTCATGTGCCAATCTGTGTTTGATTTTTGGGGCTTTAACTAGAAACATGACGCTCCTGAAATAAGTCCACAAATAATATTTATTTTTTGGGCCTTTCTGCACAGGTTCATTCCAGCTGCATTTTCCCTTTGCTTAGTGTTTTATTCGTAGCTTAATGCGACCAGCAAGTGGCAGTGTTGTTTAGCTAATCCACAAGCACAAGCTCCTGCTGCACAAAGACAGCAGAGCCTTCACTCCCCCTGTCTGGGAAGTAATATCACTTTCCTCTTGTTGAATTGACCTGTGACACCGTCGCTGAGTACACGGGGTGGCACATATTGACACGCTTGTAACGCCACTTGGCTGTTACATCACCCGTGTGTTTGTCACGGGGGAGGCTGCGTGTGATGCACTCTAATCACAGCAGTCACTTTAATGGCACCGTCTCAGCAGCTCAGATAAGCATTCATGAATATTAAGTGATGATAATCACAATGGAGAGACCGACGTCGAGACGACTGACAGACATTTCTCAGCATTCAATTGACATCCTCAGATTTGTCCTCGGCTCTGACAGCTGCGTCTCCCAACATGACAAGTCTGTTTAAAGCTTCCTGAGGAGGCTGGAGAACACGTGCACGATTAGAGATGCACTGACACTGATGGTTGGGTTTGTTTTTTGGTTTTTTTATTGCTCAAAGTGGGCCACTGTGCAAGACCAAAATGCACAACATGCA